ATCAGTGTACATCCCGCACACTTCCACCAGGGAAGCAAAGACACTCCTCCTACACATTACTTTGTTTTTTAATCTTCCAAATGTTGTAGGATGCTTATTACCTTAATAAGTGGAAAATCATTGAATACAGCGCATAGTCCCCCCAACAGCTAAAACTGACATAGGAATTAGTGAGGAAATGCAGTTTTATTCATCTGTTAAGATATGTTATCTCTCACCTCTTTGTCATCTAAGGGATGCCTAAGACCCTTAAAGAAATGTAACCTGCACTGCTAAGGCATTTTATTAAGGAAAAAACAATTCAGAATGACCTTGGTAGTCTGTTCAGTGAAAATTTCCCTCTCCTGAGAAAACCAGTAGTGTTCTTGAAATGCAGGGAAAAAGAACAAAATGGTTTTTGATACAGTAACCATACATCCTGGTTTACCCCTAACAGTCCCAATTTATACCTGTTGTCCTGGCATAGTTATTAATCACTACCCTTCCCTCTCAGAAGATCCTGGTTTGGACAGAAAATTGCATGTTTACCCTAGTTTTAGGACATTTCTTATATGACCATGCCCCTGCCTCTACTGTCCAGGACAGTTACAGTTCCCATTCATGCCTTTCAGGCGGAACCCTTGGTTCTACAAAGGAAGAATGACAAAAAAGGTGGGCCAGCCCATGCACCTTCGGAAGTTATAAAATTCATTAATGTATCTCCTACTCTTGCATTCTTTGTGTTCTCACCTCCTTTCTGTTTTGTACATTACCTTCTTCAGCACACTGCTTGCTTATATAAAATGTCAAGCAGTGCCACTATAAGAATGTTTTCATATATAGAAACAGTTTAATGCTTCTCAGTGCTTGACTGTGTGAAAACAAAGTGTGGTATATTTTCTTCTTTTCAGTTAAGAGGAACTTAAGGCCATGCTACTCACTGACATGGGACTATCAGATTGAGAAATACCTCAAATTACAAACATTTCTGAAACACTTACTATGCATTTGGCATTCTCTCGTAAAAACTGACCTTGTCCCAGATTCGAAGAATTCAGTCTAGTAAAGGAGAAGACCATGTAGAGCAATAATGACCTCCATGTGGCAGTGTACTACTAACAGTCTGGGAAGGTGCCGGAGGAGGACAGGGCGAGATTAAATCTGCACCTGCAGAGTGAGGACGTTTTTATAGCAGAGATGACAGAGTAGGAATGTGCAAACCCAGCTTTGGGGGAGGAAGAAGTGAAAGTATCAGTCTGTATGAGGGAACCTGTGTCAGTTTTGTTCTAGGGAAATAGGTGCCATTGTATTGGCCAACATGCCCTGTCAACGAAATAGCACTGCTTCTCTTAAACTCTGCTTTCCATAGATGAAGATCATGTGTTCTTTTTTCTGACGAATGTGAATTGACAGTTCACCATTCTTAGAACAGCTGTAATCTTCCAATTTGTTGATTTATCATCAACTATAGTTTTGAAAGACAGTCATAGAGCTCTCTCTCTGGCCTCTCCCCTGCAAAATAGACTTATTTCCTTTAGTGTGCTCTCAGAGGTCTGATTTCCTTTAGTGTGCTCTCAGAGGTCTGATTTTACTTTTTAAAAACAATCACCCTTCTCTTTTCCTCTTCTGAGCCTCCTTTGGTGTACGGCTCCAGCCCACATACCTGTATATGTTGTACACGAGTAGCATTGCAGTGCATCCAGTACAAAGGTCTGGCTAGGCATACAGTCCCCAAATATCATACTTGTACCTCAATGTCATGCTGAAAATAAATAAAGCACTGAGAATATGCAGTTGAATGAGAGTAACACTTCATTCCAACCTTATAGCTACTGTGTTCTCATCACCCTCTAGTCTGTGATTCTCCTCCCTCTGGTACATCCTTCCTGCCTCCTGGTTACACTAATTCCTGTAAGCTCTGTCTTTTTATCTTCTTCTGTCTACATTATCTTCCATGATAGTCTTGCTCCATTGACTTTAAGTTTCCCCTCTGTATAATTGCCATCTACTTCCAGATTATCTGTTTGGGTGCTTATGTAATCACCTCCATCCTTGACTTTCCTCTAGTCTTTAACTCCCATGGTCTTCTCTTCCTTACCCACTCCCCAGGTAAGCCCCATGGACTCTATTGCCATAATGTTTCTAGCCCCGGTTTCCCCTCCCCGCTTACCATGATACAGTTCTCTAATGATATTGTCACCCACCAAGCCACGCCCATCTACAGGCCAGCTTGCACGCTGATGTCAGTTTACTTCTTCTAAAGCACATAACTGCGTCACTGAGACTCCCTCACCAATGATAAATTCATGTCTCAGTCAAACTGTTTCCCTGCCACCTTTACCTCCACGTCCCTCCGTCCTCCTTTATGAGTCCAATGCTTGCGTGGAGAAGCAGCATCAAGCTCTGAACTTAGAACATCTGAATTTGAATTCTGGTTATGTCACTGCTGGCTCTGTGATCATGGGGTGATCATTTAACTTCTCTGTGCCTCATTTTCCTCACCTATAAAATGGGGATAATAATTGGGCCTACTACAAAGGACCACTGTAAGGATTATGAAATGCTCAGAGCAGTGGGTAGCATACAGTAAGGGTGCACTAAGTGTAAGCCATTATTAGACTCTGCCTGTGTTTCTTATGCACAACCTGTATTTTTATACCCCAATTCCTTTCTCATGCTTTATTTTGTTTTCAGAATGTTCTCCTCCATTTCCATCTCTGTGTTCACATCCCACACATTTTATATTCATGTGCCCCCCACTCTTCCATGTAGCTTTCAGGCAAACCCCTAATACTGAAAATATCTTTCCAATTTCCACAGCCTCTCCTCTGCACCTAACAGTATTTAGCCCTTTCCACCTTGTATTAAAAGTATGTGTGTATGTACCTTTGCTCTGAGAAGATAGGGGGATACAGGAATGATTTATGAATTTTTGCATTTTCCTAAGTGCCTAACCAAATTAATATTGATACTGTATTTGTTGAATAAGTGAATGAATATTCCACTTGTTCATTTACCTTTTCCCTGATATGCAAGTGCAATACAGTTTTAGAACTTTGCCCAAATGAACATCTTCTCTTCGCTTGGTTATTTGTTTTCCCTCTGTCCTAATCCCACCCCTTCCTCTTCTCTTTTCTGTCCTTTTTCCCCTTCTCTGACCCTCCCCCCGTTTCCTGTCACACCTCCCCTCCCATGCCCCTCTCGCCTCTTCCCCCTTTTTTTTCTTCTCTTCTTCCTCCTCCTCATCCTTTAATTCTGGATTCCGCTTTATAAAACTTCCTCCACAAACTCATAGCCAAGCGCCATGGGCACAAAAGGCTACTGTTTCAAGAGAGAAATATTTGCTGATCATTTTTTTTTTTTTTTGGTTACTTTTCTTTTTCAAAAATAAGCGAGCAGGTAATATCCAGTCATAATGCTATTTACTCATCTTAGCTACTGAGAAGAAGGAATTGTTAAAGAGCAAAAATAAGCCCAGTTTTTAGACAAGAAGAAGTCATCTCATAAGAACTTTTTAATTACGTGTTCTGATTGTTGCAGTGTGTTTTGAGTATAAGTTTGTCTTTCTGCAAAAGGGAAACAATTGCAGGGTTAGTGTCTTGAGATTTTGTATGTGTGTGTGAAGTAAAACAGAATGTTACACTGTCTCAGGTGTGCAGTATAGTGATTTGACAGGTCTGTATGTTCTCTGCTCACCACAAGTGTAGCTAGCATCTGTCACCAGATAACACTATTATAATACCATTGACTATACTCCCTCTGCTCTACCTTTTATTCTGCTGACTTATTCATTCCATAACTGGAAGCTTGTATCTCCCACTCTCTGTCACCCCTTTAGCCCATCCCCCCAACTCTTCCTTCTGGGAATGACCAGTTCTCTGTATTTATGGGTCTGTTTCTGCTTTTTGTTTGTTTTTTTTTTTTATTTGTTTTTTAGATTCTGCATGAAAGTGAAATCATATGGTATTTGTCTCTCTCTGTATGACTTATTTCATTTAGCATAATACCCTCTAGACCCATCCATGCTGTCACAGATGGCAAGATCTCATCCATTTTTATGCCTGAGTAACATTTCATTGTATGCATACACCACATCTTCTTTATCCATTCATCTATCAGTGGACACTTGGGTTGCTTCCATATCTTGGCTATTGTAAAATAACACTGCAATAAACATAGGGGTGCATGTATCTTTTTGAATTAGTGTTTTTGTTTTCTTTGCATAAATACCAGTAGTGGAATAACTGGATCACATGTTACTTGTATTTTTTAATCGTTTGAGGAACCTCAATACTGTTTTCCACAGTGGCTGTACCAATTTACATTGTTTTTTTTTAAAGAATTTGATCAGAGGTCTCCAAGAATAAATTCTTAAGTATTTTTTGTCCATTTGGTGTTTAGGTTTTCCTTATTCTGCTAATTTCTTCCCCCTCTTCTCATTTGTAATGTCATTTTAACTTATAATACTTTCCTCCAACATCTTATCTGTCTTCTTCTCTTGATCAGTACCCTGTCCTTTCTCCTAAATCTGAAAACCACCTAAAACATCATATCATGTTGTTTTCCATTTCCACAAGTCTTGAAATGTCTCCTGTCTTGTTGGAGGAATGTTTTTATGATTTCTGTTAAAGATACTAACAGTAACCATCTGAATCACATTTCTAATTGTGAGCCTGCACAAAACCAATGTATCCCTTGTATTAGTGAATATAAAATAGATCAAATATGCTATTATCTCTATATTGGATTGAGGGATACAAAGTTAACAAGATTGAATGGTAGTTTGGGAAGTCAAACTTGAATTCTTAAAATTATCATCTGAAACAACACGTAAAGTTTAATAATTTTAAAACCTCTTTGCTTCTGCTTTCTTTCCTGAGCCATAGTAAGTTAATGCTTAGGACTGGACAAAACATGTAATTCTGGGAAATCCTCAAAAACAACACCATGTACACAGCATTATGAGATTATCATTTGTGGTAAATGGGTTCTCAAAACTGGTATTTTTCTCCCTAATTTAGGGTAGAAATTTAGCATCTGGAGAGGTTGGATTTTTTCCAAGTGATGCTGTCAAGCCTTGCCCATGTGTAAGTATGAGTATTTTCTTTCCATTTTTTCCTGGTTTTGATGTTGTAATTAATTGTGTAAGAATGTATATAGGATATGGTCTTGTCACTCAACAATTTTATTAATATTTTCTGGGGGGATCATATTATTTCAAGTTTGAATATATGGTCAGTGTTATTACAGTTCTAAAAGCCTCATGATTCCATTGTCAGAAAATATTTTTAATTGATATATGCAAGGAGAAAATCCAACTTAGTAAGTACATTTACAAAAATAAATAGTCTACAGGGTGTTAGAAGGAATAAATCAAAGCTGTAGATGAGATGCATTTTCCCCTTTTCCAATGAAGGTGAGAATGGTAGGCTCTAATCTATTCCTAGTCATTTTGGGTTATAGAGAGATGTTATGCTTCCACTAGTGTGTTTGAAAGCATAATAGCATGAAGTCCACAAAATCTTCAATCAAATCTCTAAATACATTTTTCTGTGCTTTAGTTTATCGTTACTGTTTATTTAATGTCGTAATGGCATTTTCTGAAAACATCAAACACATTAGATAGATACAAGGAGAATGAATGAGCATTTACTCAAACATTATTATGGATGAATATAACATAAAATGTGCTTTCTGGTGTTTCATTAGATTTACAAATTTCTGTTTAAGGTGACATTATTTTTTCATAAGTTGATGTTTAGGATTGATTTTTCTCTGAAACTTTTGAAGTTCTTTGATTTGAAGTAAATGAAATTCCTTTACTAATATAATGGAGTTGATGGTTAAAAAAAAACAAACTCCTTAAATTATCTTGCTTGCTATATTTCAGTCCTTCCTAGATTTACAAACTGGACATCCTTTTTAATATTGTAAATGCCTGCCATCCTTGATTTCAGAACGTTGTCTGTAGATTAATTTACTGTACACATTCCAGCTTCATTAATTTCAAAAGCAGAGGGAATCAAAAAGAATTTGCTCTTTATTGGTTCTGTGATCTAATGTCACATGTTCTTATCTAATAATCTTAGAAAATTGTTGAACTTTGATACCACTCTAATTATGTAAGCAAAATGAATTTTTAGTTAGTTTTCTGTCATTTCTATGAACAAGATTCAAGCTTCCTGTGCTTAAAACAATGATATTTATATGTAGGCAGGAAGCAGGAGATTATACATTCTAATATTAAGATGTTTGGGAAACAAGAGACATCAAATCAAGAATATTAAACATTTCATATATCAAGTTCTGTTATCTTTTTACAGCCTCTTGAAGTTTTATTTTAGGAAAATTCTGGCACATGGCAGGTATTTAATACACTTTGTTGTGTGAATGAACAAAGGGGTGAAAAAGCAAGCGAAAGTTCCTAGCTGAACCTACGTAATTAACAATAGTAGATACTAATTATATCAGCTTATAGTGAATGGTATTTGGTGACTCAGTTACTAGAAGGAAAAACATGTTCAGAATTTTAAGCTGGTAAGGAGTTAAAGGAGTTAAAAATAATTATGGGTAGGAATACTAACTAAATATGATTGTTTTATAGTGTGAAGTTAATAAATAGTTATTAAAATTTTAGTGCTTAATAAAATTATAGATTCATTTGTTGGTTTAGGATAAGTTAAGTAGGTGGAGAGATTGGAGGGGAGGATGTGTTGAAGGAGTTTGGAAGATGGTATCTTTTGACCCTGGGACATACTGTTTATCAGGGGTCCGTGAGTAGTACGGAATATTCCATTCTGAGCTCAAAGGTAAGGTTATTCTCCAGTATATGCTGTGCCAGTCTCTTCAAAAGTTCTGAAGTATATAGATAGAAAGTTAGAACTGTGGAAAATGCAAGAGGAATATAAATGAGACCATTTCATTCCTGGTAATATGGTAACTGGGGACAAAGCCTGGAGCTACAGCACAGTGCAAACTTGGGTTAACGCTTTGTGACTCCCGAAGTCCTCAGTGGGTGAGCAAGAAGAAAACAGTTCCACAGAAGATATGTCTATCTTCATCTTGGATCTGGGTTGGGAAGAAAAAAAAAAAAGCAGTCTCCCATAAGAATTCCTAACTTTAGATCCAAAAACCGCCCAGGCATGGGGCTGAAATTCATACCAGCTCTGTGACTGAAATAATTCTAAGCTAGAAACAGTTTAAAATGATTCCACATTGATTGTGTTTCCAGTACAAATACAGATTGTCTCTGGATTGGAGCCTCATTGCACACAGTCCTTAAAGGATTTCTACAGATAAAGTCCTAGGGAGTATCAGTTCACAATATGGGATCATCACATTCAGGATTAAACAAACCATCTTAAGCAAAGTTCAGCAGAAAAAATAAAATTCAAAATTAGATACACAAAGACAGCAGATATTGTAATTATCAGGTACCAAGGTCAAATTTTTATATTTAATATGGTTGAAGAAATAAAAAAGAATAAAAGTCTAAGAAGGGAACAAGCCACTCTCCAAATTTCTTGGATATATTTCACAAAGAATCAGGCAGAGTAAGTGAAATGAAAACCTTAATGGAGGCATTAAATGACATATTAGACACAGTTGGGTAGAAAATTGGTAGACAAATCTGAAGAAACTTCTCAGTGAGTAGTCCAGAGAGATTAAGAAATGGAAATCTAACAGAGAATGGGGTGATAAAGTTCAAATGCATGTTATTGAAGGAGAGAATAGAGATAGTGTGGAAAAGCAATTTTCAAATAAATAATGGCAGAGAATTTTCCAGAACTTATGGTAAAACTAATCTGAAGAGTCAAGAAGAGTATATGAAATTAATCAACACCCACACACATTTTAGTTCATTTCAATGGCAGAACATTAAAAACAAGGAGAAAATATTAAAACCAACCTTAAGGAGAATACGGATTACCTATAAAGAGTTGATGATTTGACTCATAGCTAACAACAGCAATAATGGAGGCAACAAAAGTTTTCACTTCTGGTAGTTGTCAAGTAGCCCCTATTGGATCAAGCTTCCACAGAAAACAACTACAAGCTCTGGGCGAGATATTAAGGCAATAACAAAAACAATCTGAAGGCACTGGCTAAGAGAAGAGTTGACACTGGGTAAAAGGGGATGACGCTAGGTTAGTTTCCTGGTTTTGTGGCTGGATTGAGGACAGATACTGGGCTGCACCATGCAGGGTAGCTAAAGTTCAGATAGAAACTTCACAGTGTCACTAGCTTGAAGAAGCAGAATGTGGAGTTGGAAGGAAACACAAAGTGGAAAGGGAGGCAGGAAATCTTAGAAAGGAAGGTGTCAGAGAGGGAGGAACCTCAAGTTCTGTGTATAAACTTTGCCTCAGTTTGGCTGCATGGTGTAGACTTTGTCCCAAAGTGGCTCAGTTTAGGCTCAAAGAACGAAACTGAGAATTCACCTGCCTCTCCCCATAGGGGAGATAGTTTGCAGTTGGAGTTCCACCAAGTTAACTGCCTTCTTTAAGAAAAATCACACTCTTTCTAGAAGCATCACAGAATTCAGAGCTTCTACAGCATATTATTCAAATTGTCCAAGATACTATCCAAAACTACTCAATATGTAAAGGAGGAAAACACAAACTATACTCAAAAGAAAAAGCAATCAAAGGAAAACAACCCTGAGAGGTCCCAAATGATGTAATAAGCAGGGAAAGATTTTTAAAGTAGCTATTATAACTATGCTCAAGGACATAAAGGAAAGTATATTCATAATGAATGCACAGGAAACTTCAACAGAGAAATAGTAACTATTAAAAAGAACCAAATGGAGATTCCATAGTGTGAAACTTTAATATTTCAAGCAATAAGAATGCTATGTTCAAAGCTTTGAAAGGAAATTAGTCAACTTACAAATCTATCTTTCCTCTGTAGGGATGAAGTAATGACACTTCCAGCCAAACAAACACTGCAAACTTACCTCTAACTGTTCCCTCTAACTCGTATAAGATGTACTTCAGGAAGAAGCACATATCTTATATATATTATTTTACATGCATGCTCTATATCCAGTAAAATATTTTTTAAAACTATATGAGTACAGCCAAAGTTTAACAATGTAAACAGCCTGTGATGAAGGTAGAAAAAGGCATTAGGGAGAAATGATCAAAGTTGAGAATATATTCAAAGATAGGAAAGTATCCAGAAGAAAAGTATCTATTGTTTTATATAAGAAAAGGGCCCAAAAAAGAAGTGGGGAGGGCCCATGACAGATGGAGAAAGATAAGATCCCACCCTCAGTATAGGGATCAGTGCTGAGAAGATAGTCCTGGTACTTGACACATCAGAATATATTCACCAAAGAGTGAGAAAGCTCTAAAAGGACATCGGGGTGAAACAGACTGGGATTTTGGTTCTGCTTTAGAATGTTCTATCACCCTTCATTTTTGTGGATCTTCAGCTTTCCCAAGCCAAAGGAATCCATAGAATATGTTGAAGTTCTTTTTCCTTCTCTGTCCCATCTTTGTTTTGTTGTGTTGTGTTTGCTTTTTTTGTTTTGGCTTTCTAGGAAGAAGGGTGGATTTAAGCATGCATTTAGAGAATACGAAGAGGGAGAGGGAAGGAGGAAATATTTTTCCATCAGATTTCAGAAGCCATGTATATTTTCTAAAGAGAAATCATTGAAGATTGATTACTATTTGTGAAAACAAAATGGTATAAGAAAATATTTGCAGGATTTGAGTGGGTGTAATGTACTCTACATATTATTTTCTGTGTATCAGGAATTTACATGGTGGTGAAATTAAATGTGTGATCCATAGGATAAAAATATTTAAATACTAATAACTTTGGAGATGCTCTGACCAGAAAGATAATTTTGTTATATATAACTATTAACCTGGAAGGTCAAAATAGTAACAGCCCATTATGAAAACTGACAGAGCTAAGAGACGTATTTACATTGATCAGAGCTCTATTACAAATTAAGAGTAACAGAGATTCATGAAAAATTTCTAAATACAAAACAAACTATCCATACTCCTTGTCTTTTCTTAGGAATTTATAAACTTTGTTCCCCTCTAATAGTATGTATTTGGTTATTCTTGGAATATTAGTGTACCTTCTTTGGCTTTGTCCATCTTCTAGTTATAATCAGCAACTAGAAGTTTTCTTCTTCTTCATTCTTTATTTGCATAGCAAATGTAACATTTTTCCCTTTTGCAAAGCTCCATAGGAGAAAAGGGAAAAATGAATATTTCCCATGACTTTTCATCAATAAAAAGTTTGCCAGTTGGTAGACTTCAAAATCAGAGGCTAGAATTTGTGATACAAAATAAGAGTCTGTAGCCAGTATATATTGTTAATTTTGCCTGTTTTCTGGGAAAGCAAAGTGCTATTTGGTTTTCCTAACATTTTCATTTTAATTTTCTGTGATAGGATTAAACTGCCTTGATAATAAATACCAAAAGCTTCCAATCCATATTTTTCCTGTTATCTCTCCTCTTGGAGGTACAGTGGTGGTAAAATGAATGAAAGAATGAATTAAAGTGAAATGAATTATTTTCTACTTATCTGACATATACTATGATTCACTCTGTATAAAATTGCCAATGGATAGTTCCAGGACTGTGCTATTTAGGGTTTTATAGAGCCAAGTCAGCTAAACTGAATTAATGATTGATTCCTAAAAGCTTTCCTTAAGTAAACTTAATCTATTTTTTGGCTTTTTATATCCTAGGTGCCCAAACCAGTAGATTATTCTTGCCAACCCTGGTAAGTATTAAAAATGTTTATGTCGCTAAGTTGAAATACCATAACCTTAGCTCCAGGGTGCCTTAAATGTGGGGATAGTAAACCACCTTCCATTTCTATTTATCCTGGCTAAATTTGTTTTCAAATACGACCGTAATGAACTTATATATCGCTGACCTTTCCATAACTTCTTCAGAGTGGGGTGTGTGTGTGTGTGTGTGTGTGTTTGTGTATGCATGCACACACTTGACTGTAAATTCAAAGTTTATAACAGCCACAGAAAGGAATGGGACATAGGCAAATATGTATCTTATATTTTGGAAGAGTAAATTTCATGAAACAGAGAAAAAAATATATGATTATGTTGTCTAAAACTAAAAATTAGCCCAGGAAGGATAGTAGATCCTAAACTGTAATATGAGAGGAGCAAGATGTATCCATGTCTAACATTTGGGTCTACATGGAGCCCATTTACCACTTAGAGGCTAGCATTACCACTAATAGAAACAAGGAAGCAAAGGGGATAGTGATTATTACTTTTTAGACATGATGAGTTTAAGGGGAAGTGATATCTTCAACTGGAAAAAATCTATTTAGGATCCGGGATAGTTATCATCATCATGTGGTAATAACTAATATATACCAAGCACTTACTATGTGCTTAGTATTTTACATGTTTTATTTCATTTTGTTTTCCAACATCTCTATGAGGAAGGTTGTTATTATCTTTACAGATGAGGAAACAAAGGTTAAGGCCATGCAAGTAGTAAGTAGTAGAACCAGGATTCTAAGTTATGCCATCTGTACATTGCCATATTGACTCTCAAAGTACAAAACGTGGGCTTATTTACTTATTTGTTTCCCTGAATTTTATGTTTGGCTCCTTTTAAAATGACTGCATCTGTTTTATTTTCTGGATATGAAGTATATATGCATACAAATTAGATATCAGTATATGTATATAAAGGAGATATTCTGAGAGTATATAGTACTAATTCAGTTTGCAGGTGTAGATAGAACACCTGAGCTGATATTTTTAAAGTGTTCTTGGGGTGCCTGGGTGGCTCATTTGGTTTAAGCATCTGCCTTTGGCTCAGGTCATGATCCCAGGGTCCTGGGATCAAGTCCAGAATCGGGCTCCTTGTTCAGCGGGGAATTTGCTTCTCCCTCTCCCTCTGCCTGCTGCACCCCTTCCTGTGTGCTCTTTCTCTCTCTCTCTGACAAATAAATAAATAAAATCTTTAAAAAATTTTAAATTTAAATTTTTAAAAATTTTAAAACATAAAGTATTATTTTCTATTATATAACCAGAGCATAGAAAACGCCCAGTTGTTATAGGACAACACTGTCCAAAGTATGGAATTCTTCCCATCAGCCCTCTTGCTCACCGCAACCATCACGTCTGCCCTCAGTAGCTATTACCCGCTTTCTCTGACCTCCCTGAGCTTGCTAAAGAAATTATAGCAGGCTTTGATAGAACTGGGAAGCTTTGCTACATTTTTACTTAGTTTAAGATGAATTTGAGGTCAGAACCACATGGAATTAAAAATCATGATCCTGACAGGAATTAAATTTCGAGAATAGAGCTGATAGCATGGATAATCAAAGGGAACAACACCAGGAGCTGATAAAATCACGGGAGTGTGGTGATTAGCTTCCCTCTCTTTTCTTTTACTATTTTGCACATAACTAGGCATAATAGTTACAAGGGTAATGATTTTAGAGATAAATACTAATGCCACAAATTACATGGATTTTATGAAATAAACGTATAAGATACCTGGGAACCATTCAGGGCGCAGGAGATTAGTTTTAAAACACTTTGTTTTAAGAGGCACCCTTGTAGATATGTAAAATTCTATTGAAAATATAATTTAGAATAGTATTGTTCCTAATGATAAAAAAAAAAGGTGTTTGGATAAGGGAAGAGTCTTGAAGATAGGAACAAATAAAGATGTTTCATAGTAAAATTTTTAAATTACTTTTTTTCTTTTTCTTGAGCAACTTAGTTTATTCACACTAAACAGACATTTCATGGGAAATGCTTTCTGCTAGGGGACAAAATGGTCAAGTATATCAGAAATGGAAACTTCAATTTTGGAAATATTACACTGTTTAGAGAAAATGATGCTGAATGATGACATGTGATTATCAAGTCATCGAGAAGTTGGATATCCACCAACTGCATTGTCTATTCATTACATCTCCATTTAAAAACAAGTTATTCTCACTAGGTAAACTTTGTCTCTTGAGTAGAATCAAGGTGATTATCTTCATTTGCCTGGGTATAGAAATCTAGGTGAGAAATTATTTTGCATCTTGGATTTTAAGGCATTGCTCTATTGTCTTCTAACTTCCCCAACTCAATGCCATTCTGATTCCTTCCTTCCTTCCTTCCTTCCCCTTCTTCCTTCCTTCCTTCCTTCCTTCCTTCCTTCCTTCCTTCCTTCCCTCCTTCCCTCCTTCTCCCTCCCTCCCTCCCTCCCTCCCTCCCTCCATCCCTCCATCCCTCCTTCCAGGGAGAAAAAGATTCTTCCTTCCCAAGAGAATAAATCTACACCTTTATTTATTTACTTTTCAGTAAGTTTAAATCCTTGAGGGGTACAGCATCACACAGATTCTGTGGCCAATGGCTTTAGCAGGAAGTTTGCTTTGGAATTTGGCATGAACCATGCCACTGTTTCCATGAGCATGAGTTACTTTTCCCCAGATTACTCTGGTTTTGTTCAGTTTGCCACCAAGAGTCACTGTGTTGTTCTTTGTTTTGTACACATAAGCAAATCTCTGCCTAGACAGAATTCAGTTTCATCTTGAGCATAAACACCTTCAATTTTAAGAAGAGCTGTGTCTCCCTCTGGTTCTGGAGACCCTACTTATAGACAGCAAAAATGGCCTTGGACCACAGCCTTCCAGACATATTTGTTGATTTAGGAGTCCTCTTCCCAGCAGGCCTCCGTATGTTCCAAGATGGTAGAAAGAGGCCATTCTGACTTCTGATTCTTTGTATGTAATTTGATTGTGAGGGGGAGGGGGAGCACACACCTTGCAGGCAGGGATGAGGCATGGGGCTTAAAACTGGGGAATTATCTGAAAATCCATAGGAAGAACAGGATGCAGATGTCAAGGTTCCTACACCATTCCACAAGTAGTGAGAAAACTTACTTTTCCCTACCCTAGCAGGAGAAGTGGAACTAGAAGATATATTATGTGGAAAAATTGAGGCATATAGGGTTTACACTTAGAGCAATGCCAGCAGAGATTGAGGGAGATGCTATACTGCAGAGTAGTCAAATTAAGGAAAGTCTACATACTGACTGATGACAATCCCCAGTTCCTTTGTGTAGCTCAGTTCCAATACTGTGACAGCTGGGTCTCATACACACAGACTATCCTCATTGCATCCAAACAGAAATCTGGAAGATTTTTCTCTAAGGGAACTGAACAGACTCAGTAAAAAGAATCCTAAAATCCTAACATTTGGGTATTATCCAGCCCCATGAATCACATTCTTGCCAAATGATTATGTTCCTACCCAGCGAGTCTACTTTGGTGCTCCCCACCCCCACAGAGATGCCTCTCTCCTAAATATAAACAGACAACAAAGAGTAACCAGGCATTTGAGAAAAGCCTTGAACTAGAGAACAAATAGAATAAATGGGGAAAAGAAATGAGGGAAATACAGACATTAGAATAAGCGGAAGAAAGATTTTTAAAGCCTTTAATTTATATTCTCAGAATTAAGAGATGACAATATACCCATGGAAGTGAGCTGGATGTTTTATAAAAGGAAAATCAGAGAACAAGAAATAGCTCTTCTAAATTACGTATTAAGTAGTGGAGTTGGAAAATAAAGTTGAGCAAATCCTCCAGAAAAATCATTTGATAATATGGGACAAAAGGTAGGGAAATTAGACAGTTGATCCAGGAGGTATAGCATTTGTTTAGTGGGTACTCCAGAAAGAGAAAACTGAGGGTAGCAAGGAAATAAGACAAAAATTTCCTAGAACCGAAGGATATATGGCTCCAAATCAAAGATGCTACTGAGAGCCCAGAACAATATTGAACTAAAACATATAGCATATAACTGGAAGGCACGTTATCATGAAATTTTGCAATATGGAGAAAACAGAGTCTGAAAGCTTCCAGGGAGGAAAAGAAATCAGATCACATTCAAAGAATCAGAATGGCACTCAATTGCAAGTGAGAAGACAATAGGACAATGCCTCAAAATTTGAGAAAGTAATTTCTCACCTAGAATTTTATATCCAGGCAAATTCTGAGTTAAGTATCAAGTAAAATAAAAATATTTTTTCTGGGTGGGATGCTTTCTGAGTATTACAACCCATGTATCCATTTATAGGAAGCTGAAGGATGAGCTAATAAACCCATAAAGAGGGAGATACAGATTCCAGGAAATGAGAGCAAAGGGATGTCCCAGGACTATAATAATTCAGGAGGCTTAGAGAGCAAGTAGTAGTGAATAGACCAAGAGGGTGGAGGGCTCAGAAGAAATGAATGTCTCCATAGAAAAAAAAATGGACGGGTTCAGTATATGGTGTTGAGAAGTGTACTACTGAGATGTTTATCATTCTCTTGGAGAATTTGGAAAGAATTTGTAGGACAAGTTTGAGCAAACAAAAACTTGAGGAATTGTTTTTTTGGATGTCAGATGTTCTTTGACTATGAAAACATGACAAAACCGGGCCAGATGATGGCTTGGCTTTGTAGAGGTTACAGAAACAAGAGTGAGGAGAAGCACCATGAAGGAATGAGCATGAATGGAGAAGAAATTATTTTCCTTCCTGACACCTAAAATTGATAAATTAAGAAATTGTAGTTTGATTAGATTATTTAGAAATATACAAGCATAGATAAAAAAATAGATAAAATGATTGGAATGGAACTTGGGATAGAAAGCTGATCAGATGGGGTAATGCTGCTTTTTTTCATTATTATTACAGCACAAGTTGACTTTTAGAAACTATGTTCATGTGTTACTTTGATAAACATGCATATACTATCTACTAATTGTGGTAAGTGCCATGGGAGAGATTAGGATACTGTAATAAGAAAAATGGAGGGAAGTGTGAGATGCAGGACAACATTCTTCAGATGGGATGGTCAGAGAAGGTCACTCTAAGTTTGAGTGATGAGAAGGAATGTGTGTGGATTGGGTGAGTGTTTCCAGGCAATAACAGTCTATGGGAAGACTCTTAAGATCAAAAACAGGCTGGTGAATTCCTGAGCCTGAAAGAAGGCTGGAGACTAGATGGAAGAGTGATCAGAACATACTAGGTACTAATAATTCATGAGTTATCATAAGTGCTTTTATCCCAAGGTAGCACCTGCATAAAATGCCCTTAGGTCTCCTTCTATACTTGGTGGAAATGTCACATATCCTCCTTCAACAAACTTTTGTATTTTAAATAAACATTTAGTATAAATTAACGGTGGGTATTTAAACTGAGTTACCCCATTCTCTGTGTGAATCAGAGAATTTTCTGGAATACTAATTCATGAAGTTTTGAAAGAGAACCAATCTAAACATAAAATTTTTCCCTTTAACTTTTATCGCCCCAAATCTCTGCTATATTTTGCCAATAAATGTAAAATGTGTATTTGATGTGAAAGGGTTCCTAAGGAGTATTTTACCATTGGATTTGGGCCTTTTATTATTACTGTTATTGTTATGGAATCTGGGTATGTTTAAAGTGAAGATAGTTTAGGAAGAATTGTATTATTGAAAATATCTACCTTTTAAAATTAAATTTTAGCCCCTACTAAGTTCTTAAGAAAATTGGTTATCAAAGTTGTGGATCATAAGAATTCACCTTATATCCCCCAAAATAATTATTTAAAAATAATTTAAATTGTTACTGGAATTTTCTTAAAAAGATGCTCCAAGTAGGTTTCATTTCACAGTATGCGTAGAAAAGGTGAAATTTTAGAGGGGGTGTATGTGTATACATGTGTGTATGTGTGTGTGTCCTATACATGATAGTCCCTCTCTTACCAGGCTTTTTCCTTCTTGTTCTTAAACTCCCTATTAGTCTCTCTCTAACTCAATACCTACTCACTCCTTTCTTTGTCCCATTTATTTATTTGATAAATATTTACTGGGCGCTTACTGTGCATTAGGCACTATTCACCGTTGCTAGCTTTGTAGTGCATTTGTTTTTTCACTTATCAAAGGACTTTTTTCTGCACTATTTTTTGAAGTAATGTAATTAGTATCGAAGTAAAAACAGCTCAGATCTGCCACTAAATTAAAATCTTGACAGAGACTTCTTTTTAGCTTCAGTTCTGTTCCAGGTATATTACCCAAATTTTCTGTGTCATTGTTTCTTTCAGGTATGCTGGAGCAATGGAAAGATTGCAGGCAGAGACTGAACTTATTAATAGGGTAAATAGTACTTACCTTGTGAGGCACAGGACCAAAGAGTCAGGAGAATATGCAATTAGCATTAAGTAAGTAGGACAAGTACTTTTACAGAAATAGATTTCCTGTTTTCATAATTGCATAGACCATCTGACATATATAACACTGAAGTTAAAAACCAAGGTTCTAATTGCAGCAGAAATAATGCATCTATCCAGACACTTCATTAATACTTGAAAATATCTGTTAGAAAAACAGTATTAAGTATTATAGGCTGCTAATTGGCATACTAGATTTCTTTCATAACATTGTATTCTGGTGATTTGATGTGTGTATGTTTCTCGTTAATTCTAAAAATATATATTACTAGATTTCGTTTTATTTGATTTTGTTTTTCTATATTCTCAAACTGAACTTAATAAATTGGGCACAGTGATTGGTCAAATCTAACCCCCCCTTCTCACTTCAAATATTGGTTGTATCTTCAACCAATCTAGTAAATATATTTTGTTAATTAGCTGTCACCAGTGTATTGGCATAGGTATATCTTTTGTCTTCAGAATTAATTCCTATAATTTTATTGGGGCATGCCCTCTGGTAATTATTGATTTCTACTGATTAAAAACACATTTATATTCATACGTCATTCATTGCCCACAGGTACAATAATGAAGCAAAGCACATCAAGATTTTAACAAGAGATGGCTTTTTTCACATTGCAGAAAATAGAAAATTCAAAAGTTTAATGGTGAGCATTGATTAGTTCGTTTCAATCTATGGTCCTTATTTTGCTCTTATTTCAAAGGTCAGTTTAATTCGATCGTTTCTTAGAAATTTTGTGTACTGGAAAGTTGTTTATAAGAGACCCCTATAATTTTGCAGCAGAATCCTGATAATTCTAAGAATTCCAATTAAGTTTTATATTGCCCTACTCATATTTTTCACTGTAAATTCAGTTTGCAAGTTTTAGATCACATTTCAGAGTCCACATTATTTATGATCCTTAGAACAATAGACAAATTTGGTCAACTTTCAGTGATTTGTGTTTCGCCTTGTGTTTGAGTCACAGGGCAGATCTTTCACATCCATCTTTTCTCCTCTTCCTTCCTCTGCCTCTAACTGCTCATGCAGACAGAGGAAGGTATTTTTAATAACAACAAAAAAATTGTAGCTGGCAAAATACCTCTCACTAGGTTCATTTTATGCAAAATACAATATAATGTCAAGCAGAAAAGCTTTTTGTATTTTGTGCTATTTTAAATCATCTGTGTTATGGTTCTGCTTCATCACTTTGGACAGTTAAGTATTAACAGTAACATTTTTACCAAACATTTGGTATTTCATAGGAATTTTATATTTAAATTGAAATAGTACATTGTTACCAAGTTGCTCCAAATGAACCAAGATTACTTTATTCTTGTAGTTTAAAAAATTACCATTTAATAATTTTATTAGTGCATCATATTATGGTTGTCATAAAAACAGTGTCTATATGGCATTATATATGCATTGCTGACAGAAAAGAAAAACTTTGTATTTCTTTAAAAATGGTCTCAAGTCTGTTTTTCAAGTTTGAGAGTTTCTTGAGATAATGAAGAATTTGGACACAAGATACAAGATGCATTTGTAAGTGTACTTCTAAGTACTTTGAGTAACATTGGGAAGGACCACTCATTGAGCCATCAATCAAATGATACATATTGCATCCTCCAGCAAACATCTCAGAGCACTTTGCAGATGTTCAACATTGAAGTTAAAATGGAAGGGAAGAGAGCCTTACAAAATAGGGCAGCTTGAAAGTCTTACCTAAAAATCTAGAACTGCTGCAAGACAGGGATTAGTGTTTTAAAGAAATGGAAGCATCTTGAGTTGAAAGAAAAGGCAGAAAACCTCTCTGGACATAAATATCACATTCCCAATTCAACAGTTAAGGATGGGCAGCAAGATCATGTCCTGGAAAATGTGAGCCCTGCCAAATTAGTAACCAGGATCCAGGCATCCTCCCTGCTGGAAGTGACTTACGTTCTGTTGGAACAAGCAAGCTGTGCACAGAGAGAACTGGACCTGAGGAGGTTTTTTCCTAAAATGAAAACCTAGGGGGGAGGTGGCAAGCAGATGCACAAATAATGAATGGCAGCCCCAGCTGAGACATGATAAAAACAGGCACAGGGGGTCTCTACCTCCCTGCAAGACATATCGGCTGGAGCTTTCACCTGCAGAACTTCCGTGGATGATAATGAGGCTGCTCCACGGTATTAGAGTTAATGTGAGACTTAAAAAAAAAAAAAAAAAAAAAGCTGTAGGGCCAAAGATGACTGCCAGTTTTGCCGACTTTGGAAAGTAACAAAAGGAACTCCCATCCGAGGAGACAAGCAAATAGGATGAAAGGAATAGTTACTGGAAAGGGCCAGTCAATTCAGCTTTGTGTCCCTTGGTTCAGCTCCAGAAAGTTCATCAGCAGCTGAGGGTTAAGAAGTGAAAAAGCCAGTAAATACTTCATGACCTGGTTTAGTGGACATAGGTCCTCGCCTTCCTATCTCCATACAAAGCTGTGATTATAGTATAAGCAACAGCCCCCCCAGCATTCTTAACTTCTGGGTACCAGAGAGCAGTGCAAGTTTCTGCAATGATGTTCTGGAAAGGGAATTAAGAGGTACCGTCACAGAGCTAAAACAGGCTTTCCCCCTTATATGGTATGTGTAATGTATGTCCTAAATGCCACTGCTAGAGACACAAGCATGTTGTTCTTCCATATCTGGAGGGGAAGCACATAGCACAGTGAGCTAAAGGGAGGGGATTCAGAATTAATAGCATAACTACAGTGAAACTAAAAAAATTTACTGAAAGGATATAATTGTAAAAAGAAAGCTAGGCAGCTGAAAAACTGTGTCTTGGATAAATATTTTAGTCAGGTTTAGCAAATAACTGTAAAAACTGCGGAAGAGACCGAGGAACTGTAGTCTGGAGCTGTCCCTCCTCTTTGTTTCTGTTCGTTTGTTGAACCAATTTATATGGCATCCTTACCTTATGAAATCAGTATGTTTTTACAGAACTCAAAATGACTCCGCTATTCTAAAGCTTTCAAATTCATAAATCCATCCATAGCAAGAACCTCACAGTAATGCTGTCCTTTACACCTAAACTCAAAAATACCACATGGATATTTGATCAGAACGAATGGCTCCTACTTTAGTAAGCAGGCCCTTTGGAAGGGGAGAGAGAATTAATAGGCACCTTTGCCTTCACTCTGGTAATGTGTAGGGGCTTCTCTAAATCAGGATCATACAACTTCAAGGAGTTAGTTACCTTTTATCATGTTGGTGTCAAATAACACAGTTTCTGTCATATGTACATAATGGTCTGTGCATTGGAGTTGTTGGTTAAGAATGGTTCCGTGTCCTCCCATTATGGGTGGTAAAGTTATATGCTTATACCTATGAAACAGGGCCTGGAATTAAATTTTAATTTGGCAAGGATGTGAAATGGAAGCAAACTCCAGAACTTGTTTTAAATTAGCCAGTTTCTCCAAATAATGCAATATATGTTAAGAAAAAAAAAAAAAAAGAAGAAGAAGAAGATAGCAGGAGGGGAAGAATGAAGGGGGGGAAATCGGAGGGGGAGAGGAACCATGAGAGATGATGGACTCTGAAAAACAAACTGAGGGTTCTAGAGGGGAGGGGGGTGGGGGGATGGGTTAGCCTGGTGATGGGTATTAAAGAGAGCACTGGGTGTTATGTACAAACAATGAATCATGGAACACTACATCACAAACTAATGATGTAATGTATGGTGATTAACATAACAATAAAAAAATTTAAGGGAAAAAAAATTAGCCAGTTTCTCAAAGAGAAGATTGTCCTTAGGTGGTTATGACCTAAGCTTTTTCCCCTTGGGTTTCAATAGCTTGGCTATTGAATCAAAATCTTTGTTTTTCTTAGTCATTAAATTCAAATTCTAAATGAATTTCTGTATCCAGATTACAAGGCATTAATTTTGTTCTAATTTTCATGTATGCCAGACAACCCATGTCCAAATGCTGTTTATAAATCATCTCCATTGCCTGTTTCCTTGGTAATTGGAATGACTGACTCTCACTCATTATTTTTCAGAGAGACTTGAATTGTTGACACTGCTTTGTCAGTGTGAGATAAGGAAAGCTTAGCGATTTCTTTTGTTTAGAGTCTTCTTATTTACTTGTAGTACCTGAAGGTCAATGACTGCTAAAGCAGGGGTGGATTAGACTAAAATACAGAAAGCATAAAGGCATAAATTGGAAAAGACCCATGGTGGCACAATTTAATTCTACCCAGTCAGAAACGTGTAGGAAGATTTACCCTCATAAGACTGTAAAGATGGAACTTAAGCTATCTTCGATGCTTAGTGAAGTGATAAAAAAGTATTTGCAGCTTACCAAGCTCCATGACCCAAGGCCTGGGAAAAGTCATTTTTTCTTCCATAAAATTTGGTGATGGGTAGGTAGGAAATGATCACCAAGTCCTTTTCAGTATGATAAGTCTGTGGTTTCTTGCCAACTTCACATAAACTTAAATTCATACTAATCCATAATATTATAATGCGTAAAATTCATACTGTTTATAACAAAATTACATTGAAGCTCAAAGTTATTGGCTTATAGTTACTTTCAGGTTTATTTTCATATTTTTGCTAAAGAACACATTTTACTTAGTTTAATAAGACAGAAGAACAACACTTTATCATTTGCATCAGCAACACAATATATATGAATGTACAATTCTCACAGAGACCTTACAACATTTTGCCTTTTATTTTTTAAAAGCAATAAATAATATTTTTGTTGGTCAGATTCCAAATTCCTTTGCTTCATCAGAGACCACCATAATCTGGGCTCAAAAAAGAAAGAAGAAACATAGATGATGATGATAATAGATAGATAGAGATAGTTATAGATGTAAAGTATGTAAAACCTTAGCATCTTAGATCTAAGAAAACAAAGTTCTTGGTATATCATGGACACTTAGAAAATGCTCCTTCCCTTTTGCCTCCATTTTTTTGTATTTACATTTGCCAAGCATTACTTGCTAATAGTATGATGTAGTTATGAGCACAGACTTTGGAGACAGACATCAGCTGTTCAACCTTGCACAAGTCGATTAACTTCTCTGAGACTTGACTATCAATGGGGACTAAGCCTGTCTCTTGTTTATTGTGTGGAGATGGTGCGAAGCCCTGTAAAGGTCCTGGCGTATGGGATTGTGGTGGTAGTTAGATTATTCACACGTACCAGGCATTCTATACATTCTTACTATAATCTGTGAACTGGTGCATTCTCCCCGTTTTACAGATGTGGGATTTGAAGAATCTCCATTTGCTTTACCCAATGCTTCAGCCAAACCATGCTGCTTTTTGTTTATGAATGTAGCCTTCACTCAGTCACTTTTATGTCTGATCCTAGCCTGGCTGCTCTACTTAAAACAATCCTTTCCGCCTTCCTGGCTTCTGCAATTTTGCCTGTTCTTCAATTTAAGCCAAGCTACCTCCATCATGAACCGTTCTGTCGTCCTCTCCAGGGGGCTCACAAAAGGAAGTGCTCTTTCTCACCTTTGAGGACCCATAACCCCTAACTTTTCCTTCCAGAGTGAGCAGTCCTAGAGGGCAGTAGCTTTACCTTCATAATCTTTGTGACCCCTGGAACTCCCCACACAATGCATTCTACAACTCATCCGAGTTTAGCCATAAATAATGTAAATCATAAATAATAGAAATCATTGATGATTCTTTTTTGCTTCTTTTGGGTGATTTTTGGCTCAGATGATTTGTTTTGGGGAACTTTGAACATAACCACTGAATGGAGGTACTGAGTTGATGACAGTTTGGTTTTTAGAAGAAATGAGTTACTTTTACCCTATTTGTTTTAAACATTAATAGAAGCACCAAATAATTAAGTCAAAAGTGATACTGCTTTTCATTTCAGGTATTTCTAAGAAACATTAAACCTATAGTACTCATCTAATAATATGCATTTTTCCCATTATGAATTATTATTTTCTACTTAAAATAGAAGGATTCATATTTGTGCAGAATCTATGAAACCGACACCTTAAGAGAAATTTCCTGAAATTTTAGTATGGAAGAGGGTGGTTGGTATTCTATTAGGCTTGGATATATTTAAGGCAAATTAGATATAAGGGAAAATGGAAAGTACTACATTTTATTGACCTCTATAAGTAGCAGATGCTATGCAGAACTTTGAAGGGCACTAACACTTCACTGTAAGCCAGAAATAATATCAGGTAGCATTTGTGGTTTATCAACTTTGGTTTACCATGGAAAAGAACATTTAGAATCAAGTTTGTTTTTCTGCTATGTTGAAAGAAAATGCAGGAAATGAGAAATTGCTATATATTCAGCAAACAGCTGTTCCCTTTATTTTTGCTTAGAAAAGCAAGTATTTCATAAATAAGAACAATAATTACTGTTCTGCAATTAAAGTTCAGTATGGTTTCTTTTCATTGACCACATCTGACTGAAGACTAACAGGATGCTCTCTATCCATGAATAACAATAGGAGGTAACTCACATTATCAGTCAGTGGCCAGCCTGAGTAACAGGACAACTACTGGTTAGTTAGGTGCCATGCACATCCAGAAAGCAGGGAGAGATTATCATTTACCTACCCTTCTATATACTTATGAAAAATTTGGCATTAAATCAGTCATCTTCCTCTTGTATAGAGTTATGTGTTCAAGAGCTCTTGTGTTTGAGAATAAAAGTACCCTTATCAAAAATAATCTTTAATTCTTTTATCCTAAAGGAACTTGTGGAGTACTACAAGCATCATTCTCTTAAAGAAGGTTTCAGAACCTTGGATACGACCCTACAGTTTCCATACAAGGAGCCTGAACATTCAGCTGGACAGAGGGGTAATAGAGCAGGCAACAGCTGTGAGTACTGCAATTCAGAATACAATTTGCTGTCACTTAAGGATTGGAGGCACAAGAACATTAAACATCTTCATTCCAAATTTTGAAATATAACCAGTTAATATGCTGATCTGTTTAGCCAGGACTTTTTTGTGGAGCTAAGCATGATGGACCAATAGGTTTATGAATATGTCTAGACATAGTTCTCTGTGCCACGTCAAAGGTCATGTTTGTGTCTAGAAATCCATCAGAAGTTCAAAGGGTATGTGAATATGTAAGTTTCATACTTTCCAGTGAATTGTATATTAGCTCAACTCTTTTTAACTCATATGTGTTTGTGGTCATAATGCTGTGTGAGTTAATGGTATCTAAGTAAGGCTGGTGTGCAGCTAGCCCATCTCACCTGGTATCCCAAATCTGCTTATGATCCTATTTTTAATGATTAGTTTCAGGATTTTGAAATGGCTAAAGCATGTTTCCTCTGATGCCAGTATTTACAAGTATACCTGAGTCACTTTCTGGCAGAATGAGCGCTGTGCCACAGCTGATCACAAAAGATTAGCACACCATCCAAAAGCATGTGATAGTTTGAGTGTGAGTTCAAGTCAAAACTTTTTTCTCATCACTATTTAATGTCACATAATCTTCCTGAAGGTAGATATAGCATGTAAAGAGAACATTGTAATGAAAAACGCTATGAATAAAGTGTGATTTCCTTCCCTTATGTTAATATCATTTTTTTTTAAGTAAAATTCTTTTGGAGGAGAAATGAATACAATTTTATTACTCTTAGAATCTTTAGCCTGAGCAAAACAGGAATATCTAGGAGTATTTGAAAAAAGAATTTGCATTGTGTAATATAACTTTAACTTTTTTTTTCCCTGAAAGCAAAAACTGAAAGGGAAACAGGTAACACTCAGGGCTCTAACAATATCAGTAAAATTTCATATACTTGTATATAAGTAAATATACAAGTAATATGTCACATCAACTGACAGATTTTTTCTGTTTGAATAACTTAATAGCTTTTCTCTTTTTTTTTTTTTTTAAAGATTTTATTTGATTATTTGAGAGAGAGAATGAGAGATAGCACGAGAGGGAAGAGGGTCAGAGGGAGAAGCAGACTCCCTGCTGAGCAGGGAGCCCAATGTGGGACTCGATCCCGGGACTCCAGGATCATGACCTGAGCCGAAGGCAGTCGCTTAACCAACTGAGCCACCCAGGCGCCCAATAGCTTTTCTCTTCACAAAGATCAGTAATAAATGACCAAGCTTGTGTAATGAAAGTAGTCAGAGCATACTTTATTTTGAAACTTTAAACACCTATTAAAAGTTATCTTACTGGGGGTTGCCTGGGTGGCTCAGTCAGTTAAGTATCCGACTCTTGATCTAAGCTCATGTCTTGATCTGAGGGTTGTGAGTTTAAGCCCCACATTGCGCTCCATGCTGGGCATGGAGCCTACTTAAAAAAAAAAAAAAAAAAAGTTATCTTTCTGTTTTTTAGCCCAGTGTTACCCAATTATCTTAGATTCTCAATAGGCCATAATTTTCGCTCATTTTAAAAACAAGTTTTCCTTGAAAAACAATTTTCCTACAAATATCTTTTTCTTTCCTATGAATTTCTTAAGATTCTACCAAAGTTATGACCTTTTTCCCCAAATGAAAAGTGTAAATTTCTACTGTCCTTTACTTTGCATTCCTAGCAGCAGGAGATGATAAAAGTTGCCAAGGAGGTCAGTTATACTAAAAATTCTGTTTGTTTGAGTTCACTTAGTTCTAGAAAGCCAAGATGGGAGAGGTTGGCAATCAGGGAGAGCAGATGTCCCATATTAGTGGAAGGTCATTAGCCCTCATATTGCACTGCGTGGTTACTCCCAGCACTTTCTCTGTGCTTGGCACATGTAGATGTTCAGAGGATGTTGTCCAACGATGAGCAGAGTTGCCTAATCTAAAATTTGTCTCTAATGTTCAACAAAGTATTTAATGTTCAAACTTTTTTAGCCACTAGGAATGGAGTTTCAGGCCTTTTGCCTTTTTTTTTTTTTAAGCAAAAATTGCATAGCCAACAGAATGATTTTGAACATCAATGTGAGCTAGAGGGAATTTTTCAATAAACAGAGTCTTGCGGTCAAATATTCCCCGCCCAGATTTTTTAAGAGACTCTGGTGAGCATGCCACAGAACCCTTTTGCAATCAAGAAGTAAAAGCAGATCATTCATTTAAAATTAATCTTTGTCAGAGTTTGGTTTTATTTATGAATTATTTATTCATTCATTCAGCAGATATTAAATACCTAACACAGGGCACTGTTCCAGGTACTGGGATATAGCAGTTGAGAAGACAAGTTCCTGTCCTTATGGAGCTTATATTTTAATGGGGACACTCCGGCAAGTGTGGGATGGCAATTTGCTATTTTTATATAGGGTGATCGTGGAAGACCTCCCTTATAAAGTGACCAGAAAGAAAGGAGGGAGTGAGTTAGTCTGTCCGTCAGCAATAATTGCACGGTGGTCTGGACTCCAAGATTATTCAGACATTACCATGCAGCACGATTATAATCTTAGATCAAATTTATAACACGATGCCAGTGTTTCCTTTACTTTATACTGACTTTTGTATAAAATAAGAACACTAAGATGGTTCTCAGGGTTACATGAGGAGCTTTAAGCATTTGGCACAGTGCTGGTACATGGTAAACAGTCAATAAATATCAGCTACACTTGATTCTACCACCACCACCACTACTAGTAACTCCTAACACAGCCAACATTTTCCTGCATTTCTGAGTATTGCTAATTTTAACTCCTAGAAATTCGCATCTCTGCTTTTATGATTTTTTAAATATACTTTATTTTATACCAAATCCTGATTGAGAGTTGATCCTTAATTAAAACACTGCTTCTATTTTTCTGCACATTGTGCTTCTCAGAAGCAGTAAGGAGGAATCCTGCATAAGGATTGCGTGGGATGGTTTTATAGTCCTTACCTCTCTTCCTAGCTTGGGTATGCTGCTAAATATTATCTAAAAATAATTTTTATCAAGAAATATTACCTTGGGATACTGGATTGGCTAGGGCACTGACATCTCCATTACTTCTAAAAGGTTTTGGAGGAAGCAGAGCAGGCAAGCTAATGCCTAGGTCCACCTGTTTTCTGGGCAGAGGTTGAGATTGGAGTTCCAACTCCTCATACCTGCTAGTTTTGTTTTGTTTTGTTTTGTTTTTTCTTAAATAGTATAGTCACTTTGTGAAAGAAAGTCCCAGGGCATTGTAGAAGGGTCTGCTTGCTTCTGTATTAGTCCAGGTTAGAATATTCTTGGGTAAATTACCAACTATTTTTCAAATTTGTAAAACATGATAGGATGATGGCAGAACCACCCCATGCAAATGCAGAATAACATACAAAAAGGTATTGGTTAGAATTAAACAGGAGTCCAGAGTATTAGGCAAAGAGCATATGACAGTTCTAGGTTAGGATCCCATTGTAGGCAATGCTCTTTTCCAGAGCTATGAGACTTGACTTTTGCCTTTGGAATGACATGAGTGTTGCCAAGGGAGAAGAACAAGACAGAAAGGAAGAAGACACAGAGAGCTCAGGCAGAGCAGTGGGTTGTTGTGCTTCCCTAGAAACCACAGTGACTTCATGGAAGATGTTCTGCCCTGTCTGTGGATCTGTATAAAAATCCCACTACTTTCTAAAAACTGTCACAGCAAATCTGCTTTAGACAGCGTCAGGTGTATCTGTAGGGCTTATGTATTTGAAGGGCACTGAACTGACTTTTGCCTTTCTTACTCTACAATGAGCACTTAATTATTTTCAGGTCTGCTACTGAGTAGCTGTCTGACCTTAGGCAAGTCACTTAGCCTGTCTGGGATTCAGCTTTCTCATCTGATGAATGATGAACGAGATTAGATATTTTATTATGTTTTTTTTTTTAAGATTTTATTTATTTATTTGAGAGAGAGAGAATGAGAGAGAGAAGGCACGAGAGGGAAGAGGGTCAGAGGGAGAAGCAGACTCCTTGCTGAGCAGGAAGCCTGATGTGGGACTCGATCCCGGGACTCCAGGATCATGACCTGAGCCGAAGGCAGTCGCTTAACCAATTGAGCCACCCAGGTGCCCCCATTTTATTATGTTCTTAAAAAAAAATAGCATCCTAGGTTTCTTTCTTTGTGTGCATGAGGGAAGGAGGTAAGGTAGAATGTTAATAGACCATTACACTAGGAAAAGTTGCATGATTAGCTATTTCATGACCCATAAGCAGACTTTAAACATTTTTCCAAGTTCTTATTTATGGAGATTTAGTTGGACCATAGACTAGAGTTGGCTAATTAGAAAAAAAACATTGGTTATTAGTATATCCACATAATCTCGAAGTATCTTCTCGCAAGAACTTACTGGTAACAAAAAGAAAAATAGAAACCTTAATCGGGTTATTAAAGTTAACATCACTAATAAAAGAACAAGTAGATCACATGTACCTCATAATGTGATGCTCTAAGAAGGCCACAGCATCACTTTGGTGGGATTCCTGCCCCCATGAGGCATAATTTCAACCTGATCATGAGGAAGCATCGGAACAAACCCAATTTGAAGGACATTCTACAGAATAATTGGCCTATGTGCTTCAAAAACGTCAATGTCATGAAAGACAGTTGTATCAGATTAAAACAGACTGAAGAGACATGATAAGTACATGCAACATGTCCTAGATTGAATCCTGGGCCTGAAAAATTTTATGTATGTATGTATGTATGTATGTTAAAGGACATACATGAGACAGTGAAGAAATTTTGAAGTTTTTAGATTAATAGTATTAATTTTTTGCTGATAATTGTACTGTGATTATATATGAGAAGAAACTATCTCTAGTTTTAGAAAATACACACTGAAGTATTTTCAGGTGAAAGGCATTATGTCTGCAGCGTATTCTAAAATGGTTCAGGAAAAATGCAGAGATGGATAAAGCAAACTTGGTAATATGTTAGCATTTGAGGAGGTTGAGGTGAAAAGTATGTGGGA